AAACTTTAACTTATTTTATTCTTAAATATTAGGATTAGTATTTTTCGCAACTGATAAATACAAATAAAATGTCGAGATTTCAAGAGTGATTATTTCAGAAAAAGTACAAATATAAAATGAATAAATAAAAATTGCAGAAAAAAAACCAAACGACAATCTAAACTTAAAATAAGCCGGCACACTATGTTTTTTTTTAAAGTGTAGTTTTAGCTTATTGTCATAAAAATAGCGTAAATGATTGATTTTTAATTATTTCAAGTATGAATGAAGTTTTTAGGAAATTTTTTTATTAAAGTTTTAAAATAGACCTGAATAACAATTTTGTCTAATACTGGAAAATTTTATCAAATAATCAAATGTTTAATTTGTATTTTGCGTAAAATTACTTCAACTTAAGAAGGGATATGAATCAACCGCTTTATTTATTTATTTAACGACACATCAAAAACCGGATTTTCTTTTAATCAGCAAATCAGGAAAAATGGAAATTTTTGCATAATTGCTTTCAAGATAAAAAATTTTTAAGATTAAGACACTTTTTTTAAGTAAAGGAACAGTAAGTAAAACAATTAATGTCATTGTTAATTAAATACTGTGACACAAATGCGCTTTTTGATAGAGGAATGTAACACCAACCATCGATATACTATTCTTTAAACAACTAAAATGTAAAAATCAGAATTTTCCTAGAATGTCGATTACTTAAGATGAAAATGAAATGTGTTACATGGCTAAATGAATGAGACAATAGGATTGTAATTTTTCGATGAAACTTTTGGTTTATTACATTATCGAAAATCGAAAATATGCATAAGTTCAGTCCGCGACGGAATTATAGCTAGCCAAAGCAATTTAAATATGACCAATTATGGAACTCATGCGTAATTTCATACAGGTAGAATCAGAAGCTATTTAAGATGTTTTTATCAACCAAAAAATTTAATACATTTTTTTTTTGTATACATTATAATTAGTTAACGTGAAAAAGTTCTGATCGACAATTAACGATATTTTTATCAACAAATCAATCAAATTTTTTCAGAGTCCAATGAAGTAATGGAACTATCAACTCGCGACCCATTCTTTACTCATGCATATTTTTCTTGGTTTATTCAGTTCCTGAAAATACTTCCAACTTTTGGAAGAAAGGAATCAAAATTCCAATAAAGTTAATAACTCTAATTTGGAATTGAAAATAAGGCAACAAAAGATTTTTTATGACTAATTGACAAGTAATTAAAATAATAATTTTAATTACTCGTTTTATTCTTATCAGCACATATTCCCAAAATTGGCTTCCACACGCCATCTGTGCATTTAGATATTGCACTACCATAAAGACGTTGTCCAGGTTGACATTTAATGGTTATTAGGGTACCACGTCTAGTCTTTAGTGACTGAAAATTTCACATTTTACAAAAAATGTTTCATAGAAGACAAAATAGATGAAAGCGATAAATTAAAGTTCACACTTAATGGTGCAACAATGATAGATGGAAAAGGCTTTACTGTACTGTATTTCAATAATGGTTGTCTGTCGGATCCATATGGTTTGCAAAAGTTTCCATCGTATTGTGGTTTCAATTTGCAAACACCTAAAATTAAGGGTTTGAGAATTTTTAACCTTACTCTTTTCCAAGCATTACACAAATAATTCTTTCATGATTGCAAGATAATAATCATACAATGACATATGAACAATATTTCTTGCAATAAAATATAAATTAAATAGTGAATAGAATGACATCAACATTGAGTAGAATTTAATAATTGAAATGAAATGAAACAGTAACCAAGCTTTGGTCGCCATATTCCATCAAAAGAACATGTAGTGACATTATTGCCATAAAGGTTGTGATAAAGGTGACATTTCAGGTAAGCGGTGCTACCTACACCACGTATTTTACCATTTTTCATATTGTAACCAACGTAACTATTTTCTCTGTATGTTAATCGTTGACATCTTACTGGTTGATATTCTAAAAAAAGAAAAAGGAAAAAACGATACGACTATAATGATCTTATTGAATGCTATTATAACTACTGATACAGTCTTAATAAAAATTGACTCTTAATTACTATCTCATATTTATTAAATTCATTCAATTATGATATTATAAATAAAAGTTTCGGCAACATACAAAGGGTTTTCAGCAGAAACATTAGGCAAAAAACTATTCTTCTGAAAATATTGGCCAGTAATCGGTTATGAATAATCCATCAGATAGATAGGCCTCTTACCATTAATAAGCCTTAGATGTTCAACGAGTATAAGTTCAGTCCCTTTTACTATTCCTTTCGATGTATCATTGAAATACTACTGTAGTTATTTCTAATTTTTCAATATATTCGTCGAAAAATAGCAAAATTTCTTGTTGCAACAAACATTCAATATCTTTTAGATAGTTTAATTGATAGAAAACTTTATAGCAATAATATTTAAGCATTTATAGAAATTTTACCATTAGTGGTAAATGTTCTCATACCGCAGGTGGACAGAACGACAATAACCAATATTGCAAGTTTCAGAACCATTTCTCTGATTATATAATTATTATAGACATATACAAATTTTTAATTAAATTTTTGACTGAAAAACAGCACACATTCATCAGTACTACATATTATTGCTAAGTAAACGAAGAGAAGGACAAAGACAAAGCCAAGATTGTCATCAAGGACAGAACCAAGATTGCCATCGAGAACAGAATGCTATATGAGGCATAATGTTATGGTGGGGTGACATTTAATGCTTATGCGATAAAATTTCAAACATAAAATCTATTACTTTGGACTGAATCTTACGCAAAGAATTTGAAACAATGAGTGAATTCAAAAGGAAGAAAAAATCTGAAAATTCTCTGAAATTATCTAAAATTATCTGAAAAATTGTTGCATTTTATAGCTTACATCTATTTATACATAAAAAAAAAGCTAATAATATTATCGGTAAGATGCTGTCAACGTGAACAATAAAATTTGCATTTAATCTGTTGCAAACAGTTTGTCATAAAGCTCAGAATCAAAAGATTTTATTTGCTTGTGTGTGTGCAAACGCAAAGAAATTTTATAGCACAAAGGTCTAATTCTTAACATTGCTGATCAGAAATCATTTTTTTAGCAACTGACTGATTAATAATCTCTAAAACTCTAAAAGAAGAATTTTTAGTGAGCAGTGCAATAACATATTGTTTAGTAACTCATAAGTACCTACTTATTAGTATTTCAATTTAACAAAGTTTTTCTGCAATTATTTTGAAAAAAAAAAAAAAAATTAATTATTGACCGATTTTTTTTGTTTTTACCTAAAAATTCTTTTAGAGTTTTGAGTGATCTTTTTCGGACAGAGGCACCAAAGAATCCGATCTTACAATAAGTTAACTGTTGCTTTTGTTTAGCGGCCTAGTTTAGAGCATTTGTCATCAAAAATAAAAGTGTATAAATTAATAAAAAATATGGATCAATTGTCTCTACAATTTAAATAAAATATGTCAAATTTAAGCATTTGAATTCAAATATCATTTTTCAGCATTAACTTAATTAGTTTTATATTTTATTTTCTCCAAAAATATATTGAAAATTTAAAAATTTTCTAATCATTTAGTTTTCTGATTTTGGATTAAAAAACAGAACATTTTCTGCTTCAATAGGTTCCAGTTTATTTTGCTTCATTTTTTCTTTATCATATAAATTGTTTATTAAACATTTAGTTCTTATTTTGCATTAATTATGCTTAAAAATTCTGAACATTAATGATATATGATTTATATAGCTAATAAGCAAATAAAATGTTTTTCTCACACTGTTTATTACTGACCTTTCACCGATCATGTTTTGTTTATCGGAATCAGAAATTATAATTTCCACAATTTTTTTACTCAAATGTCATTTGCAAAGAATGTTACCTTAAAATCAACAAAAAATATAAAATAAAAAAGGTCACATATAACTTTAATAATTATAAAAAAGAGACAAAAAAGAATCATTTTACATTCACCTTTCAATATAATTTATTACTTATTAATATTTAATAACAAAAATAAAAAAATGCCAGCAAGAATTGAAAATTTAAAGTTTCTAAATATTAACTTATTATTGACAACAACATTCAGCGGAGCAATCAAAGAAATTCTTTCGCTTTTTTATTAATTATAATTCATTGGCAGCTAACATACTGATGAATATTTTGAAAATTATTTATAGTTTATATTTAAAAAATCCTAATCCATTTTAAATCACAGAACCAAAGAGATAATTATAGCATTGTCGGGACTAGTTTACCGGGCATGTATATAATAAAAACTTGTTTCCTTTTAACTTTTTTCTAGATCTATGCGTCAAATTTATTTTTTGTTAAATACTAACCTTTGAAACTGATTACTATGCTAATGTTAACCGCTCATTAATGGTTGGCAAAGTTGGCCGATAAACGATTCATTCGCTCATTTTAATAATTTTTTTTTGGGTATCAGATGATCTTTGCTCTTTATATAGTAAGGGACGGGTATTAATATTATACTTAAAGAATGAAAAGCTATCAGCTTAGAAGACTTTTACAACATTTCGATATTGCAAGCAAATTTGATTTGGAACAAAGAAGTAGTTTTTAGTATACTAAACAATGCACATATCTTTACTATCAGTTGAAAATATCTGGACAAGCAGGTAAGCTTACTTAAAGATGAGGTTGAAATAATGCTGCTTGCATGATACAATTTGAAACAGTTTTACATTTCCAATGTCCAATTAACACAAATTTTAGTATTATGGACTATATACAACTTTATTTGATATATTATGTAAGTTAATTGGAGGTTTGCGAGATTATTTCGAGTTCCGCGATACGATCGGTCATTTCACTATTTCACTAGTGCTTACCAGCAAATTCTGGAAGATTATTACCTCTGGAAATTATTTTTCAAAACCATTTCAATTTTTCGCTTTATCGATTAAAATATTTATAAAAATACATTCAGAAATGACATAGATCTCATATCTGTTTATCTTTCATCGTCAAAAATAGCGTTCGCTAGAGGACATCCATTTCGAATTCGGTGACATTGAGTTCCAGTGTGCACTACTGTTGTCAAGTTCTCACTAAATCGATGCAATGAAAGTCAATGATATATTTAAAATGAAATTTTACTACTTGCACTTTCTATTTCTTTGCTCACTTTGTCATTGTGATAGGTTTAATTTCCTATACTAATTTTGATTATAATGAAAGTTTTTGTCAACAAACTCACATCTTTGAACTGGTTGTGTCATCAATTTTAGTTAATTTACAAATATTTGAATAACTATGAATCCATTAAATCTTAGCATTCTTCGCTACTTACGTTACACCAACCGGTCAAGGAATACTGCCCGTTTTTAACACTGAACCACATTAAGTAGTTCGTTTTCAATTATGCGCTAAATTGCTGTGAGAAGTGCCACACCCCATTACGACGTTAAAATAGTGAGAGAACCACAATGAGTTAAATGAAACTTCGAAATGTGCTATGCGATCCTTCCAGTAATTCGTAAAGGGGATATAATGGAAGAGATTAGCAACAGCCCATAATACCTAAGATTAGCTATAAAATGTTCGAGAAATAAAATAGAGAGAAACCAAACCTGCTACTTCGCAACAGAAATTACTGAGAGATTAATACCAAATTTAGAAATGAGTTCACAAAATTTCACCGAAGGAAAAAACTGCTGGATAGAGAAATTGTAACATTATTTATCATAAACAATATTTTGGTAGCACTTACAATTTCAGGTATGCTTAAAAAGGGAAATCCATGAAATAAAGGAAAACTACTGATGATTTTGTGCATCCGCTGCATTCGTTGCATCCGCTGCGTTCGTTGCATCCGCTGGTGCTAATCCGTTCGCCTGCGCTTCGCCGTTAAATGCGTACAACTCACGCAGGAATTCTTCAATTTCTTCATCCGAATCACTACCATCCGACTGATTTTGCTGCATCTAAAATTAAGTTTTCGGAATAAATCTCAATTTTTCATGCAAATTCTGATTTCTAGCATTTAAATTTTTTTTAAAAATGACTTACGTTTTCCGGTGTTTCTTGGTTATTCGGTACATCCATTCTGGCGCGTTGCTCAAACTCCGATATCTTTTCTTCAAGCTCTTCGTTTTTCGCATCAATTTCAACAATGCGTTGCTGAATAGTTTCAAGCAAGGACGGTATTGAGTTAAAACCGAAATTTTCGAATGCCATCTTAAACTGAAGCCATCACGTCTTTCTTTCATAATTCTTCCAAATTAAAGAAATTCGTTACTTTCTTAAGTTACAAATATCACTAATACTTCTTCAGAAAATAAATCAAACAACGATGTTATCCTCTAGAATTGTCCAGCAAAGCAGTTGCTAAGGAATGTGTTGTCAAATTTGATAAGTTCGGAAAAGAATGAGTGGAACTTAGTCTAAGTTGGATTTAGGCGGCGATATATAAAGGACTACTCAATCACATGAAATGATGAAAATTTGCTGTATGTAAACCACAAAAAAGCTCTCTTAGCCTTCAACCATTTCTACCCAGATCTAATGATCAATCAGATAGCGGGCAAATTTTGAGCTCTCTATTCTCAATAAATTCTAGTTCATCTGACCTTTTCAGTTCCGTAAAAAGTTCCGTTATTTACACACAAACCATTTACGCGGACAACTCGAAACCCACGTGAGATGAAACAAAAGAAAAATAATTTGGAAAGACAACCACCTCACTCACCGAGAAAATAATGAAGTGAATGATTACGGAGCTTCTTATATACTATTCCGGAATATATGCAAATTTTGGACACACTCATTGAGCATTCTGTTTAGGTTTCCTTGTATTTTTCATTTCCATTATCAAATTATTATTTTCAAGTTTTTAGCGTTTGAAATTTAATCAATTTGTCTATCGCTCCTTTTCCACATTCTTGTGGGTAGGAAGAATTCGCTTTTCTCATAATATTCAGTTTTATTCGTTACATTTCTAGTTTCTTCTCTTTTCTCCCAATCTTCGTTAGTTTTGCAAAGTCACAAATCTACAAGAAAGATACAATAAATAAGCCCACAACATGAGGATTTCGCTGCCACAATTACGCTTGCTAGGCCCAGGAGATAAACCACAACTTAGGATGTGGCCAGTTTCGTGTGCGATCGACCCAAAGGATATACTCGGTTTCACAAATTCAGTAGCGACAGGTGGAGGCAAAAGTAAGTAAAACTCGCATTGAGAGCTGCGTATAATTATTCTAGGAGATTATTTTTCAAAACTATTTCAATTTTTTGCTTCATCGATCGATTAAAATATGCTACTTTATAGTAATACAAGTGGAAATGACATAATCTCATTTATAATTATATTTCATCGTCGAACATCGTTTCGAATTCAGTGACAGTTTGAGTTCCAGTGTGCACTACTGTTGTCAGGTTCTCACTAAATTGATACAGTAAAAGTTAATTATATACTAAAATGAATTTTACTACTTGCATTTTTCACTTCTTTACTGACTTCTTCGTCAATGTGATAGGTTTAATTTCCTATACTAATTTTGATTATAATGAAAGTTCTTGCCAATAAGGTCACGACCTTTGAGCTCGGATAGATCTTTTAGTTATCCATTTCAGTTGATTTACCAATGTGCAAATTGTACGGTCACGCTCTATTAGCGCCATTGCATTCATGATTTGCATTTGGTCCAGGTCATCTTCAAAGGTCTAAAAAAGATGTATTTAAAAAAAAAAAAAACAAAAAAAAATACTTCAATCGAGATAAATGATCGAAGGATTCATTCAAGTTTATTAATATAACAAAGCAACAACCTTACATAGGTAAGAGGCAGCACAACACATTGGAACACATCATTTTTATGACAAATCCTATCAATTTTAATAATTTTATCAGTTATAATAACTAATTCAGTTTGTTTCGAAAGCAACTCAAACAGAAAAATTAAATATAAAGGAAAAAAGAGAGTGGAAATAAGATCATATTTCTGTGATTAATTAATTCAAATTGACAGAAAAAAGGCAAACCTTTTCCTGATGGCTTAACTCTTGTTCAGTTTGTTGCACAATTTGTTCAAATGTTTCAAAGTCAATTCGTAATGTATTGTAGCGATCTGTTTCAACCAACAAATTATGCTGAATAAAGTTCAATTCATCTCCAACAGTTTTTTCAAATATCTGTTCATGAAGCTCGTTCACTTTGGATGTAAGCTTTTCTTTCATCTTAATTTTCTCCTTCCATTCATCTTCTTCATCTTTTAATTTCGATCTTTCTTCAATGATCTTTTTCTCTTCAGAAAACCATAATGCCTTCAATTTGTTCGCCCGAGCCTTCTCTTTATCCATTTCTACCTTCATTCTTATAAACTAGAAAAGAGGACGTTAAAAGATCAGATAAAACTTTGCCAACAAAATTCTTTACATTACAAAATGCACTTGAATGTCAAATGCATTTGGAAAAAATTAACATTTAAGATTGACATCTCTGCTAACAGCAAATAAATCAGAAATGAATGGAAAATGAACACGATTTACTTCGTCAGTGAAATCATTCCCCTCACTGTTCAATATTGGTGGTAATTTCTTTTTCAACATATGCGCCCGCGTATTTAAGAGTGACATTTCCTCCTTAAGAAACTTGTTCACCTCCAGAAGTTGAGGCAAATTTTCACGATCGATTGATACCAGTGCACCTGAGATTTTCAACAAAAGAAGCAATATTTATGAGCAAAAAAAAAAAAAAAAAAAACATTCTCATTTCAGTTGAAGGCAAACAAAACGTATTCATAAAACAGTAACCTTCACTGAAAGCTGCCGGAACCTTAGCCGAATCACAAATTCTGGGATCTTTCTTTAGCGGAACTCCATTGGAACTTTGGTCATATCCATCACTGGTCTTGTTATTTTCGGATTCCATTCTAGACTAAATATTATTATAATATCAAAATTAATTCTAACAGGTCGTCACTTTCTTAAGTTACAAATACCGCCAATAATACTTCAGAAAATAAATCAAACAACTAATAGTGGTGGCCACTAGAATTGTCCAGCAAAGCAGATGCTAAGGAATGTCAATTTTGAGAAGACTTCGACTACTTCTACCCTGATCTAATGATCAATCAGATGGCGGGCAAATTTTCAATCGTCGATTCTCAATAAATTCTAGTTCATCTGACCTTTTCAGTTCCGTAAAAAGTTCCGTTATTTACACACAAATCATTTACGCGGACAACTCGAAACCCACGTGAGATGAAACAAAAGAAAGACAATTTGAAAAGACACCCACCTCACTCACCGAGAAAATAATGAAGTGAATGACTACTGGAGCTTGTTATATACTATTCTAAGAGGACGGAACATATGCAAATTTTCATTGAGTAATCTGTTTTGTTTCCTAATTTGATTGTTACCCGAATACTTGCCCACCCCCTTTGTGGCTTTTCCTGCCCAAAAGATTTTCTTGTATTTACCGGGATGAAATGGCCTGTCGGAGTGTGTGCACGTATTTTAGCATTAATATTGGCAGAATGATTCGTTTGCTCGCTAATTTCTTCACATGAGTTCTCAAATGAGACTTTTTTAATTGATCATTAATATGAAATTAAATGGATGACTTATATTGTGGTAATGAACTCATTTCTAATGTTATTATTGTCAATTATTTCGATTTATATTTTCAGTTATTATCAACATTTTAAATTTCTTCAAAATGACAATTTCTTTCCAAGATTTTCTTGATATTCAGATAAGTTGTGGCTATTAAAAAAATATCTCTTAAAATTAAAGCTAATTAAAATGTTTTACAGTCCTTTATTATTAATAGGAAATTTCGATTAAAATTAATTCCAGTACCGATATTTATTGGCGGAAAATTACATGCTATCACTACTTGACTAAAGTTTTTCAAACGATGTTTTTTGAATATTCAGCATATTTCACCTTTTAGCTGTACTGCAATGCTAATTTATCCTTAGCCAAGAAGATTGAATTAATCTTATTAGCACTCTAATATTTCCTGCAATTTTGTAATTTAAATTAACCGAAGAATAAAAACATTACATGACCAACATGCAATGTCATTGGGTCACTGTGCTGGTAATGTTATTAGTTGTTAAAGCTATTGTTTTTAGCTGCTTTAAAAGTTTTTAAACTAATTTGCAAATATATTTTAACAATATATAAACTTGCACATAGTCTATCCAATTATTATGATGAAAGATTAGTATATCGCTGTTTCTCAATTTGATCTTTAGCAGATTTCAATCAGAACTTAAATGCAAAAGAAAACTTTCAAAAGCTACTATCTAACTATTTAACATCTAAATCATTTTAAACACAATATGGCACAAATAAATATAACTCGAGCTAAAGAACCTATTACAATTTAAGTGATATAAAATTAAATGTACTACAAGAAAAGAAAATTTTAATACGTGGAAAATTAACATACTAGAGGACTATCTATAACTTAATCACTTCAAGCAATAAACAGAAGTTTTCGAAATTTTTGAACAAAAAAAAAAAAAACAAAAACTATTAGTTATGACTAAAATAATTAAAAATGTTGGACTATCTACAACTTAATCAAAGTTGAAGTCTATGTTATTTCGTTTAATATTTCTAAACATTTTTTATTGAAAATGCTTTTACTGCTTTTTTAATAATATCTGACTGTGTTAAATTTTTATTTCACATATACTTGTCGTATATTAATTTTCGTGTCAAATTTTTCTTTTTTTGTAGTATATTTAATTGTATATCATTTAAAATTTAATAGGTTCTTTAGTTCGAGTTATATTTATTTGTGCCATATTCTGTTTAAGATGATTTAGATGTTAAATTGTTAGATAGTAGCTTTTGAAAGTGTTCTTTTGCATTTAAGTTTACATTCTGATTGAGATCTGCTAAAGATCAAATTGAGAAACAACGATATCATCGAATAATTTTTTGTGGCAAAAAGAGAAGATTTCATATTGCAGATTTTTTAAACATATAATAATATTTTCTAAATAGATCAGATGTGATTTGATATTCCATAATACAAATATACTCTAAATGCCATCCAATCAATTCTTATTACATTTTCTTCCACTTTCCCTTTTTTCTTTTTTTTGATTATGTTGACGTATAAATTGTTTACAAAATGAAAACATCTTACAGGTATTTCAATTCTTCTCGAAGATATCAAATAACACTTCACTCACTTTTTTAGGATGCACTAA